TAGAAGAAGTATTTCCTAACAATGTAATATTAAAGCTTGATTATAAATTATATACATTTTATTCACGTTTAATAGCGTCGTGAAAAATAATAATTTTATAATACTGTCCGGAACTTTTTAGATATTCTTGTCACCGTAGCGTCTCGACCTATTCCAAGAAACAGTAGCTTTCTTATTCGCTCAGCAAGTCTTGAGAGAGTCCATTGTTCTTGTGTTTACATGTTATAGATATTACATATAGTATTACAAGCGATTGTAGCTTACATGTTAAAACGCACGTATCACGTTCAATAAACAATAATGGTTATCGAGTTTTCAACGTTAATATCTACTACGACGTAATATACAAAAATCTGTTGTCTCTTTTTAATTCAAGAACGATAGAGACAGCGACAAAATTTAAAAAAAATGGTGATTCACAAACATTTCCTATTTTAGACATCATTAAAAAATTACAGTAAAACTGTCTGCTATTCTTTTTCAACTAGCTTTATCCTATGGGTTTTTGTGAACCACAGAAGGTCAAAGACAATAACATTTATTTAACTATTAATTATTGGCTAACATTTATGCAATTTTTTTAAAGAGATGTTTTAAATATGACTGCATTAAGATATGTTTAATACGGTCTTAGACGTGCCATCATAAAATTTTGACTGCAATTATTACGTCAATTATATATACGTATATTATGTCTTTTGCCAGCATTGGCTCGCGTGCCAGTGCTTGGCTACTCCTGAGAAATCAAAAGAGAAATCTTCACACTTTGGGGTCTCCTGAAGTATTTGCTTTAGAAATGCTCCTTTGAAGTTGAACTAACTTTGGGGTTTGGTGTGAAGATATTATTTTTAATCAAAGTTTTTAATTCAAGTGTTCGTTGTAATTATTTACTGATAACGGATATCAGCTAATCAGTTGAGACTACCGCTGAGTAAACTTACTTTATCAAAGCAGGTCAGTCGAGTCGATGTTATCATAAAAGTAACTTTATAAATCGTTTAATCCATAATAAATTATGTAGTATTTGTTAATATCAACCTATGTAGAAATGAGACAACTATATTTTGGAAGCAAGATACCGAGCTACAGTTTTAATTGTACAGTTTGACTGTGCAGTTAACGCTTACGTGACATATGTATATTATTAAAAAGAAATTTGTTGTAACTGAGTTGACAAATTTTTATTTTTTCTTTTACTTGGAAAAGTTAAAATGTTAGTTTAGGATTGTTTTATAAGTAACAATATTCGACCTAGAAAATGATAAAAAATATATCAAATTGTAAATAATAAGAGCAGGCTACCTCAATATCGATTGTTTCGCAGCCAACTCAACTGTTTAGTTGCACAACTAAAAATCGAGTAGTGTACGCACCACCATATAAGCTCATAGGAATCAAAGCGAGACTAAAGAGTTGTGCGATAGTTTAGTTTTGGTGTGCATATGCTCTTAGAGTAATAAGTAGTGTGCAAATTGAAAACCCGCAACTCACAACTTTGCCCCTTTAGGTCAACAGCGTGAGTTTATTATTAAAATTCCCGAGTAAATTTCATTGAAAACACGGCAGTTATACGTGTTGTGATTGACACAGAGGTCAGATCGGTGTTACCTGTTTGGGGTCAAACAATGTTAATCCTATTACTGCATGGGAAATGAAAACAACGGGCCGTTAGGGTCCCAGGCTGCCCACGCAAGCAAAGGATAGACGTTGCCCTTAAGGTCACACTTCGAACTGTAGTCGAAGTTATTTTAGCTCAAGATTTATTATGTCACAGTAATATTAAAATACTAGCTTTCGCCCGCGACTCCGTCCGCGTGGATTTAAAAGAAACAAAAGTGAGTTGCCTATATATTCTTCTAAACTTAATTTATAATTTAAGTTACATATCAATGTACACTTTGCTAATATTATAACGAGAAAAAAAATGTATTTTTGGATTTTTACTGGACCGAGTTCAAATATTTTTGCACCATTAAAAAGCTACGTTATCAGGCTACGTTATCTGTAACAAAGGCTGTTTTTACTATTTTTTTTATTAAGACAAGGGCGAAGTCGCGTGCAACAGCTATGTATAATATATGACGTGCCCTTTTGTTAGTTAAAGATAATTTAATAAGTTTTCTTTCAACGAAATTAAAATCGATTACGTTTCAATCGATGTTACGATTCGGAATTTATCTTTGCAAACTGTATAAAATATTTTCGAGTGCATCAATAACAGGTTGGAGTTATAACGTTATATCTTATCTTACACACCAATTCAGCTTCTAGCTGCAACAGAACATACGGAAGCATGTTTAAAATTATTTATAATACTATTGTAATTACGAAATACACGCATTAGTCTATTAAGAGTTACAAGTATTAATTTCCTTAAGTCATAATTTAGAGTTACGATTTAGAGCGGGCGCAAACCTCTGACTAAACTAACACAAATGTTGCGATTGTCGATTGTTTTGCAGCCAATTCAACTGTTTTGCACAACTACAAATCGAGTAGTATACCTCCATAGCTCAAAGGAATTGAAGCGCGACTAAACAGTTTTGCGATAGTTTAGTCAAAGTGTGCGTGCTTTTTAATTTTTTTTTTAAATCATATGTTTTTAGTAGGAATAATTTCTGTTATACCTTTGTGCGTCACTAGGTGTAGCATTTAGCGTTAACAGAAAACATCAAGGGACTTTTTTGGCAGAATAACTAACATATTTCTATTACAAAGTAGAGTAAAAACAACCAGATAATGAGCAAGTAATTGAAGACTTTAACGTTGTTACCAAAAAGCGTGTTTAACATCCAGTTTGAACTCGCCATTAGAGTTTGAAAGTAGGTCGAAATAATTTAGTACACGGAGCGCAATTACAAAGATGAGTGGATGTACAAACACCAGTTGACCCCTGCTTCTGATTGTAGCAAATGTATTGATCTCAGTTTACTTCTAGTATTTTAAACTTATAGATTTATGGCTGAATTAAGAACGGATGCACACCTTTGACTAAACTATCACACAACTGTTCTCGATTGTCGATTGTTTCGCAGTCCATTCAACTGTTTACAATAAAAATCGAGTGTAATGTTCGTAAGATACGGGTTTCTTACCACGATTGTATTGTTTTAGCTCCCGGTATTTCGGCACAGTTGCATGCGCCATGTTCACGGGCTGACTGAAGTGATGCGGTAGTGTGAAAAACATTACTTTTGTAAAAACCACGACAGTTTAAAGTTAGAAATCGAATGTCTGCACTTCCATATAAGCTCATAGGAATCAAATAGAGACTAAACAGTTGTGAGGCAATTTAGTTTTAGATGACAGTTTGATTGACCAATTACAGATGGTACTTAGATGGCCGCAAATTCAGAAAATATGGGTGGATTGTGTGAATGAAGATATGCTTACGACGGCAGTGAAATCAGACAATCTGATAGAGATATACGAAAGTATAGTATATTCTGTGCCGACCTTCTCGGGAAGTTGATTTGAACTATGTTACTAGGATTAGGTGAAATAAAACTTGATTTAGTTAAATTTTGGTTTTTTCTTTCGATTTGGAAGTTCAGTGACTTATTTATGTATCTAAAATTCGCAGCGGAAAAGAAATTGATGCAAAGGACTTAATTAGAAACCTGTTTTGTGTAGACCTGTCTGTCTATGCAAACTCGCTTATTAAATTATTCTATTGGGTGAAAAAGAAACAAAAAATGTCTGCGTAATTCGTTTTCTTAAGGATATTCCCACGATAATATTGAAATATGAAGAAAACTGTTTCTCTGAATTATCGTAGAAATAGAGAAAGTTTATGACGAATATATTTGATTATTTTATTACTAGCTGTTTCCCTGCGAAGCCGCATTATGAAAATTTTATTTTATTGTTTACATTTGTCAAATTATCAATAGCAAATGTCAAAATGACATGATGACAAACCATGCCAACCTTGCTTCCTTGATGTTGGTAACAACTTATGGTCTCTTTCCCACATTAGTTAATTGCAGACATCTTAGGCAACAAAGAAATGTGTGTTTACGCTTTATTATAATAGTATACAAGATGATTATAATCTATAAAGTGTAGTTTATAGTTTTATACTAAAAAATGTTTTATAGTAATAAATTTTTGCCACGAATTTAAGAACTCCGACTGCGGCAATAAGACTTATCTACTCAGGAATGTTTGTACAGTAAATAAGTTTTATATGATTTATTAACATGTGCAGATAGATAAATGCATATAATGTGCAATATTATAATTTAATTTGAGCTTGTGTTTCAAGTTACAAAGGTCGTAATGAATAAGTTATCGTGTCAAGGATATACAAACTAGCTTGCATTTAAAGAAATAAATATTTTGCTTACGTTTAATTCTTACTATCAAACAACGCCAGTGTTCCAGCTATTGGCATGAGCATTTCAGATTATTCCTAACCGTCACCCCGCTCTGTCCCCACGTGAGAATAAAATGTTCCATTCGTCCCGCCTTTTAGCCCCACTATCACCAATAAGGCGACAGATGGAACCGTTATGAAATAAAATATGTACCAACCGTCACCTCGTCGCAAACGTGGGATGAATGAAACTTTTTATTATCATCTGTCTCCACATGGGGACAGAGCGGGGTGGCAGTTGGTAATAATCCGGCATTACCGCCATAACCCGATAATGTCCAGTTTGACAAATAACTAATTAAAAAAAATCTACCGGTCTAGTTTGTTTCTTATCCAAAAATGTGACTTTACTAAAAAAACAGTCTTTTTTTCTACAAAACTCCTTTGAATTAAGTGCATTTTAATCTATACTTCTATACTAATATTATAAAGAAGTAAGTTTTGTATTTTTAGATTTCTGTATGTATTCGATTCACGTAAAAACTACTGGGCCGATTTTAAAAATTCTTTCATCGTTAGAAAGGTAATTTATCTATGAGTAACATAGGCTATATTTTTTAAAATTTGACGGACGAAGTAGCCAGCAACAGTTTGTTTAAAAAATATTTTTCTTTGTTCACAGATATAAGAAACAAGATGTCTGTTATATACAAAGCGGCAATACTAATCGTACTCAGCGCTCTCAGTAAGGGTGAACTGCCCGAAGATGACTTCAGAATAATAAACCGACAAGGTGAGATCGTTATTCATTTATTTTATAGTCCACAAACACTATACTTTGGTATACTTCGCTCATATATCAGTATATGTCCCATTGTTTTAACTAAAAGCGCATAAACATTTTAATGGTAACGGAAATTCTATTATAATAAAAAGGGGTGTTTAAACTATAGTATATTTTAAAATAATATTTTGTAAATCTTACTAATATTATAAATGCGAAAGTTTAGTTGGATGTTTTTAGAGTTTGCCGCCTAAATTGCTGAACGGATTTCAATGAAATTTTGGCATAGATGTAGATAGTCTGAAAGAACACGTAATCTACTTGCTTTTGGTTTTTTATTCAACGCAAACGCAGTCGGGGGCGAAAGCTAGTGTACTTTTTAACATTTTATGGGCGATGTCAAAATGATATCTTTCTAAGGTAGGGGGAATTTTTAATCTATCAAACTGTGATTACAATTGTAATTTCAACAGCGGTAGTGCTCGTTTTAACACCTTAGCACGAATAGGCCGGCACGCCCGGTGTAATACCACGACCACACACAAGACAGGCGTGAAATGGAAGCAATTCCGTGTTTCGTCTGATGAGTGTGGTGCCGGAGGCCTAGTTTTAGTCACTTTCTCTTTACCACCCTTTTCTCACAAGAAGAGGATGGGAAGAGGAAGTGGATTTGACGGTGGAGGATATGCATAGGAAGGGGAAATATCCTCTTTATGTGCGTCTCCTCCTCCGTCGGATAAGGGTGGGCAACGCATCTGCAATTGCGGATGTCTATGGGCAGCGGTCGCTTCGCCATTTTGGCGCATTGAGGTGGCCGCTTGCTCGTTTGCCACCTTATGTTATAAAAAAAAATTAATCTATTTTAAAAAATAGTTTTCAATTCGATCGTTTGGTTTTTATTTCTTGTGGTGTTAAACTTTCCAATTCAACAAATAATGAACGACATTGACTCGTTTGTTAAGATTTCATCATCGGGGTCGTCACATCAATTACGATCGGAGGCCGAACGCCCAAAATAACCAATTGCTTTAAAATATTTTTCCTGCTGTTTCGATGCCCACGATACAGGCATTGCCTAGTGTGGGCATCACTAGATCAATCACATTTATCACTATTTGTATTTATCTTTTATTTGGTTATAACTTTTATTGTTAATTATTAATCTGTTTTCAATAAATTTCAATTTCAATTTCAATTATTGTTTCTATAAGTGTTCCGGTACATTAACTATCTATGAATAAAACAATAGGCATAATTGCTTTGAAGGCGATAATTTTCAGGCTTTTTAAGTCTTTTTTTAGCTTAAAGTGTGAAGTATTTTTTTTTAATTTCAAAGCCAAGCAATTAATAATTTGTTGCTCTTAGGTAAAAAGTGTTATTTTTGACATGACCCGCTTCCGTTATTATTGCATAGAAAGAATGTCTTCTTTATGCAAAACGCTTGACAACAAAAATCAAAGCAAGTAATCTATTCGCGCTAAATGTGGACCTTAAAAAATTCAAATTGATGTCACAGACGGCCAATAAAATAAAGTCTAGAGACAGAGCTTTAGACTATGATAAATAACAAGACGCACGTACAAACACACATACGTTGTTTATCAATACATTAAATTTAATGCGTTTGCGCTCGCGTTTTCACTGGCTGTGTTTATAAAACAAAAGATAAACGGTTTTAATTAAAAAACCAACACCGTCGGCGTTGCTCAGTCAATATACTTAGCATAGTTTAATTGACTTTTACGTGCGTCATTTGTAAGATAGCGGTCGTGTAGTCGGACTTTATGATAGATAATTTAGGTTGCTGATATTATAAGATAATAGTGTCCTTCGCCTAATTGCACATGCGGAATATAATTATTATTGTACTAGCTTTAGCCCGCGATTCCGTCGGCGCGGAATTAAAAAGAAACAAAAGTGAGTAGCCTATGTGTTATTCCAGACTACCCTCTACATCTATACCAAATTTCATCGAAATCCGTTCAGCCGTTTAGGCTAAGAACAAACATCCATCCATCTAAACTTTCGTATTTACAATATTAATATGATATAAAAATAACAGAGAACCATCAAGTATATATTTTTTTTTATTATTTTACTGATGTTATAAATGCGAAAGTTTGGATGGAAGTTATAACTTGAACTGCCGATCGATCTCGATGAAATTGTGTCGGGAAGATCACATAGGCTAATTTTCCGCGCGGTCAGTTATGGGCGAAATGCAAGTACATTTATATATGGACAAGAGATATATACAAAGCTATAACAACCTTAACATTTTGGAAAGGCGGTTTCATAAATTTACCCATATTTAAATATAAGAGGAATAATATAAAAATACAGCAATGATACCGAAAGAGGTATAAAATAAGCAATAACTGTTGAAATATGTTATGCATTAACGTAACAAGGAATTTTCGATAGTACTTATCGGTGTATTTCTTTATGTATTGATAATATTTTTTGGCAGACTTGCTGGCGACGGACAGCGATATGTTCGAAGATAAGGAGGCGCGGGCATACTCACAGCTGCTATTCGACGTAGCGAGAGATCAAGTCATCGTTGGGGCCAGGTAACAGAAATATGTCGCTTTTATAACACTTGTTACTCGCGACTTCCTTCGCGTGAAATTAAAAAAATAACTTATGTAACTCAGCGATAACGTAGCTTTTAATGGTTGAAAGTATTTTTGAAATTAGCCTAGTAGTTTTTGAGTTATTACACTCCAAAAATACAAATTTTTCCTATTTATAAGAATAGTATACCTAGACTAGTTTTTAGCTATAGGGAGAGTTAAAAGTCAAGTGGCCATTTGGCCTTTCAGTATGCTCTACTTCTTTGGATTTTAGATCTGGCCAGCTCTTTAAGAGACATTTTGCCTATTTCTTTTTTTAATTAAAAGATTATGAGTTTTAATTATTTTATTTACTTTCTCAGGCTTTTTGGGAAATTGTTACTATTGAAAGTTTTAATAAGTATATTTTGATAAATACTTCAAAAACCTTCACAACATGTGGTCGAAAACCATATTGAAGACTGCTTAAACTTGTAGTTGACAATATTTTTTTAAAATTAAATTACTCTGATGTTAACCAAAAATTGTCATTAAAGTGATAATTTCCTTTTAATCCAAAGTCAAGAGAAAAATATTCGAAGTACCAAAAGATAATAATGTTCTTATTAAAACCAAATCTCGTTATTTTATTAATAATATTGTGTTGGTCATACGCTCATTATCACAAATTTTTATATGAACCACAATCTGACCTAGAAACTCGAGATAGCCGCAGCGAGCCAGTATCGATTACAAACGGTCCTCATATTATCGACTGTAATTAGATCAAAATGACATACTAGTTCAATACCGCGGTATCACCCGTGTGTCTTAAAATCGTAGCATGTTTTTTAATTATTTGTAACTAGCTGATCTCGCGCGACTTCATTCGCATGAAATTATGATTTTTTTTTATTGTTTACATTTGTTAAATTATCAATTACAAATGTCAAAATGACATGACATTATGACAACTTTGCTTCCCTGATGTTGGCAGCAACTTATGGTCTATTCCCCACATTAAGCTTTTTATCCTAAATATTAACTCCTTAAGTTTAATGGCGTTAAAATATATAGCCTAAAGCGTGACGCAAGCGCAGGGCTGTTTTTTAAAAAAAGAATTATTCAAAAATGTGCTGTAATTGCTGACATCTTAGGCAACAAAAAAGTGTGTGTTTACGCTTATATTAATTAGACTGTGTTTGCTTATGGTTGAAAATTCTGTAATAGGTTTCAAATATTGAATATGGAATATATGTATATGGCATGTGCATACTTGGTTAGTTTAAAAAAATGTGTTTTTGTTTTAATCAATTGAATATGTAGGTGATTAAAAAAAATAAATATATGGACTTCAGACTATACTTGTGCTGTGAATATTCTCACACCCGTAGCTTACAGGTGTAGGTAGAGACGGATATCCGTTTCACCTTTCTCGTTTATATTTAATACCTAACTTTTATTAACTTTCTTCGCTACAGGCGATATCTTTATATGTCTCACAAAGGAAGTGGTCTATCAAATAATATGTGCCCCAGGGGACTGCAATGACCCGCGCATGATATATTAAGATACACATTAGAGCGTGAGAACTATGTTTAACATATTGTCTAGTCTCGTGTATGGAAAATTTTTGTCATTACCGCTACCTCCAAATTGATTTAAATAAAAATGGTACAAAACCATTAGTAATAGTAGGGGCTACAGTTTCCGCAACTCTACAGCTAGCGCGTATTTTACAAAAACATTATTAAATTATGAAACACAAACATTTATTAAATTCTATGTTAAATTCAAAATATTAAAAATGTGCGCTTCTAAATACTATGTAAGCTTCTTACTTCTTACTAATATTATAGATGCGAAAGTATGGATGGATGGATATGGATATTTGTTAGAGTTTGTAGCCTAAACTGCTCAACGGATCTCGATGAAATTTGGCATAGATGTAGAGCTTGGTCTGGAAGAACACAAAGGCTACTCACATTTGTCTTTTTTAGTTTGATAGCATGTGTACACAGCCTAATAGCCCTTCATACACCTGAGTCATTCAACCTGCTCTGATAAACGTTATCACAGCAGGTTGGTGACGGAATAGGACTCCAATGCACTATCCTACAATCGAATACCAACCTAATGCAATTGAAATACAGTCGATATTACTAATAACGTTTACATTTCAGCCATTAAATTGTAAATACGATAATGATCTTATTTGTAATAGATATACGGGTGCTATTTGCGTTTGTGTTGCGTAAACCCATCGATAGTTATAGATTACGAGTTAAACTTTGAATCGTTATTTAAACTATTAAATTCATGTTTGACTACTGTAAAATTTATTTGAATAACCCCATTTTGATATCAATTTATTTGGGTGTAACCAACACTATTAAAATTGAATTAAGAAATCAACTGTGGGATATAACGGTAAAGGCTCGTCCATTTTCCTCCATAAGTTTTACAGTACTACGCAAGAATGTTTATTTTTTAAAACTTTCTCTTTTAAGCCACGCTTTTTACTTAAAACATCCAATATAAAGTTTTTATGACTATACTAGCTTTCGCCCGTGACTCCGTCTGCGTAAAATTAAAAAAAAAAGTGGAGTAACCTGTCTCCAAACTGTGATTTACATCTATGCCAAATTTCATCCAGATCCATTTGGCAGTTTAGGCTTCAAAAGCTAACAACATCCATTCATCAATCCATCCGTCTAAACTCACGCATTTATAATATTGACAAGATTAGTAAGATGTATGATATCTTATTTATTTAATTAATAAAAATATCTTATAATTCAGTAGCACCTCTAATTAAACGTAAACCCTGCAATCTTACTATTATTATAAATGCGAAAGTTTAGATGGATGGATGGATGTTAGAGTTTGTAGCCTTAATGGCTGAACGGATCTCCATGAAATTTGGCACAAATGTAGAGTATAGTGTGTAAGAACACATAGGCTACTTAGTTTTTATTTAATTCTACGCGGATGGAGTCGCTAGCGAAAGCTAATAAAGTTATAACGGATATCAAAAATAGCCGCATATCAAAGGTACTCCACTAGCCAGCGTTTGCTCAATAAATGCCATTCCACACTCACAGGTAAACGAACTCATAACAAGGTTCAATTTGACGGCACGCGTTGGACCCAACATTACCTTACACTTTGAAAGATGTTGATTGCTTTGATTGTCACGTTGACGATAATTGCATTAATGCTGGGTTTCTGAAGTTTTATATTTTGTCACTGTTGTCTGTCGCTGTTGAATCGACCTTGTCCGCGTGAAATTAAAATTGCCATAATAACAGTGAAAACGTAGCTTAATGGTGAAAGATTTTTTGAAATCGGCCCAGTAGTTTTTAAGTTTTAATACGTACAAAAATACATATCTTTCCTCTTTATAATATTAATATAGATTACCTATCGATTCATTGAGGTTAGGTTACGTAGTTCGTAAGGCATTTCTTGAAGTTATTCAATCAAAAACACTTACGAATGGTTATACGTAACTGGGAAACCGGCCATAAATGGTTTACGTGTGTGAATGTCCACTTTACATCTATTTGATGTTGACTAAATAAAAATAAATAATGAAATCCTAATTTCGTGATGCACGAGTTTTTGCTGAGAATTAGATGGTGAAAAACCGAATGTACAGTTGGGGAATCTGACGCTGTTCTACCTTTAAAAGCTAGTTTGAATGTGTTGTATGCATTTAGACGACGCGGAACAATAAACAATAGGACGCAGTTTTAAAATAAAAAAAAAAAGGTCGCGCAGTTACACGCCTAATTCCATCGTTCACGCAACTATCTGCCATCTAATTGATTTTTTGTAAGGTAATATTTCTGATGGATCACAGCGGGTTGACGCAACTGTACCTTGTGACAAAAGGTCTTATAATCAAGGTGTTAAAATCTAGAATTGTTATTGAACTGAAAGTTCCAGTATATACGTATACAAGCAAACCATTTAAATAACCCTAAAGCGCTATACTTACATTATAAAATCCCCTTTGCAACGCCAGAGACAATCGGCTAGTTTTTGTTTATAATAAAGTATTGTAATAGAGACACGTTTCTCTTGTAAGTGGGCGATCGGCTTTTGTGGTTGATGGTTATATTATTTTACAACCGCCTCCGTACTGAACACGTGTGCCGTTAGCATTGAGTGTTGCTATCTCCATTCCCAAGACGGTTAAAACACAAAACTTTTATTCAAAAACATATCTACAATTCTGTATTAAAACACTGTGACTTACTAGAAAAATCTCTGCCACAAGCCAAGTCCTGCTTACTGAAATGGTTGCTAACTTTAAATTATAATGACACTGAGAAGCTTTTGAAAATTTCTACCTAACACTCCGCATTTCTAAGTAATCTTGTTCATTAGGACGTTTATAAATATTTATTACATACATACATATATATAACACAGATATTCATACATATATAACATATATTATTTATTCTCATTCAAGTATTTAGTTTTATTGTTACATCTTATTTTATTTATTTTATATCATCTTGCATATTTATATTTCATTCATAAATTATACCGAAACGCCGTAAGCGTAGGTTTTTAGTAATTGATGTATGAAAAGATTTTTCCTGCTGTTTTCGATGCCCACGATACAGGCATTGCGTAGTGTGGGCATCACCAGATTAATCATATATTAAACACAATTTGTATTTTTCTTTTAATTGGTATAACTGTAATTGTAATTGTAAATCTCTTATTTTTCAATAACATTATTTCTATTTCTATATTGAGATTCTACTAAAAATTGCCTAAATCTAAGTAAAAGCGCACACCTGAAACTAAACTAACGCGTAACTGTTTAGTCTTGCTTTGATTCCTATAAGCTTAGTGCTCACCATGCACTACTTGATTTCTAGTTGTGCAACCAAACAATTGAATTGGCTGCGAGACAATCGAAAATCTTACAACAGTGTGCGATAGCTTAGTCAAAGGTGTGCGCCCGCTCTAAAGTGATTATATTTAACTAGCTGTTC